TGATTATATTCTAGTAGATGGATTGATCTGTGAAAACTATCATTGAAAACCAGCTGGAGAGAGCTACATTTGTAGGTGCTATGAAAGACATTAAAAAGTTTAAGAAAAATCTCATGCCCTCCAGCTGCTCATTTGACAGATGATAGAGATAATGCATACATGTACAAGTGTGTGTTTGTGTGTGTGCTGAAAATTTAGATGATAGGACAAGAAATGGCATGGTAGGTACCAAGTGGTAAACATAGACAATACATTCTGGAGCTATTTCCCAGTGATTATCAAAGTTACTTTCATGAAAGAGATATGATCTGAACTTAGGTAGTAGTACAGAGTTAGAATATACTTGGCAAAAAAAGCTACGAACAAGTTCCTAAAAACGGGAAAAAATCACAAAGTACTCCCCTAGAGTAGAAACAAAAGATTGAGCTGCTAATAAAGGTTGACACTGAGATTATGAAGGATCTTGAAGGAAAAGATAATTTAAGAAATTTAACTTTCAGAAGACTCAGTTTATCATTTAAATTTTTATGTAAACTAAACATATCTAAAATTTGTTTTTGAGTGTGTGATTTTGTGTGTGATAAACTATCTTTTCTGTTTGGGCTCATTTTCTTATTAAAGTCCATCTATTCTGTGAGTTCTATTTATCATCAAAGAGAATAAATACCCCAACAGCAAATTTTTGAGCCTGTCATAGATATTCTTTTCCTTCAGTTTTGGTGAAATAGCTGGCAAAGTCTTACTGATATTATTTCTTTTGCTTTAGGTTGGAAGTTCATTGTCCAGTTGAAAAACACCAACTCAGCTAGTTTCTTTGGTCTGCATTACAGTCTTTTACCTGTCTTTTTATGAAAAGAGCAAGTTCTAGGAAAGGATGGAAGATTCTCAAAGAAGCAATTTTCCCCTTCTGAGGCAGATGAAAACCTGTACATGTACCTGAAGTTTTTTTCCCATTTTTAAAATATAAAATTTCACATTACATTTTCTGCTCTTCCTTTTTGGAATGATTAAATGTAACACTTCTTTCATAGTTTTTTGTTCACTTATTCTGAAATGGCTTGCCTTTTCCTAAGTAGTATATGAGGTTGGCGGATGTAGATGGTGCATACGAGTGCAACTGTGAATGTTTTCCAAGGTAATAGAGAATGAGGAACTACCTTCTGAAACTTTAAGTTGAACCCCAGTCCCCCACTTTGTGATACTCTGTCTTCACTTTCTCTTTTTAAAAAGTTACTCTCCTTTTTAATCTTTCTGGCCTGACAACTGATGTCAGCAGTTGTTTAATTGGTATTTGGTGCTTAAACCATACTTGAGTCTCTAACTCCTTAGGTTTCATTACTGTACTTTATTTAAAAAGCCTGACATTTAGTTACTTGAGCATTTCTAAAGCAGCTTTTGAAGTAGCAAACAATTAAGACTATATTTAACTTTTCAGTTATCCTACTTAACTGTTAAGGGCAAAGCAGGAAAAGAGAACTGCTTGGTACCTGAAGCAAACATATTAAAAGAAGGAGGAAAAGCCTTATTCTGAAATGATTATAGATAGATAATAACAGTAAGACAGCCATACAGAATGTTAACACTTGAAAAATCTTGATGAAGTTTTATGGAATTTCAGTGTACTAGTTTTGGTTGCTTTTTAAAGTAGGTATGACATTTTTTCAAAATAACATGTTACTGGAAATAATCTCAAATGACTAGTAACCATTTTTTCTAAAGTAAAGATGAAAAATATCTTTGGTATTAATGTTCCTCATTTTTATCTTTCTCCGTTCCTGATGCCCAGCATTAATTATACTTTAATAAAGACTGAATTTAATTAAGTCAGTGGCCTGCACCAGCATGGTCAGTGTAGGAAAGATCTTCCTACAAATCATCACCATAGCTTTGTTCATTTGCATCTGTCTTCACAACTAAGTTGTCCAGCTTATTTTTTTCAAGTTTAAATTTCTTTTTCATCAAAAGGTCAAATTTGGGTTAATTATGCTAAACACACAATCTTGTATAGAATCTTTTTTCCACTTTTCAAAACTGTTGAATTAGGACCTTAATTAACTGTGGAGTTACACTTTTGCACTGTGTTTAATGCTTGCATTGTAGGAAAAGTTACCAGAAAGAAGAGAGATCAGGGATGAGTGTCACACTGACACAAGGCCTGGCATGTAATAAGTATTCTGTAACTGTTTCTTGAACTAATAATGAAGGAATCAAAGGCTGACATTATTTATTTACCACCTACCAAGCCCTTAGATTAAAGATTATTGTGCATTATCTCATGAATCCTCACAACAGCTTCATGTGAGTATGGGTTCTGTTGTTATCCCCCTTTTACAAATGGGAAAACTGAAGCTCAGACAGCATGCACGAAGGTGGCTGAGTTAGGATTCTAATGGGGTCTTTCTGACTATAGTCACTAACCTCACACTTTCAATCATAGCATTTCTACCTATAGAATGTTTTACTTCGTTTGAGAGTCACTTCATAAGAAAGAGAGTGTTTAGTTGTTGGTTTGGGGAGGATTAATTGTAATTAATCTTGGCTGAGGAGAGAGGATCTCCCTTTTCTTGGTTTTTGAATTGAAACTGTTGTCCAATGTGATAGCCATTAGCCACATGTGGCTGTTTACATTTAAATATGAATTAACTAAATACAATTTAAAATTCATTTTCTCAGCTTTATTACCCATATTTCAAGTGTTCAGCAGTCACATACAGTTAGTGGCTTTATTGGACAACACGGAGCAAATTTCCCTCATCACAAAAAGTTCTGTTGGATAGCATTACAGAGGCTCCAGGGTTATCAGTTGAAACTCTTGAAAGTAACACTACTTAAAACCTATCTTGGAAAATAGATTTCATGATTATTCCAGCTCTCAAAAGCAGTAACACTCTATTTTTCTTGGGTTGTATCAATTAATTTAAATTTGTATATTTGTAATTACTTCCTATTACCCAACAAATTATGATGGAGGGGCAGGAAATTAGGATGGGCTGAGTGACCCATACCTGCAGTCCTAGCTATACTCAAGAGGCTGAGGTGGGAGGATAACCTGAGCTCAAGAGTTTGAGGCTGCAGTGAGCTATGATTGTGCCCTGCAGTCTAGCCTGAGTAACAGAATGAGACCTGTCTCTAAGATAGATGGATGGATGGATGGATGGATAGATAGATGGATAGATAGATAGATAGATAGATGGATAGATAGATAGATAGATAGATAGATAGATAGATAGATAGACAGACAGACAGACAAAGGAAGTTAATATTTGGAGCAAATATAATAGGCAATACTGGAAACAAGAAGACAAATATTTTTCAAGCAGATGGTTCTGTGTTGTTAGAAATTATTTTACTTTGTTTACTAATATCACAATAGTGTCGAAGGCACAGAGGAATACAATATTTTTAAAGTATAATTTTTATTATGAAATATTTTAAACACATTATACTTTTTTAAATGGTGAAAAAGCAGTTGGATACTTTTTTTACAATAGACTCATAAAGGAATTTATAAGTGGAACATTTAATCACCTGATTATTTCAGAAATATTTTAAGAATGTAGTCCACAATTTTGCCTGGACGTCTGTCTTAATATGGTCATCACCCAAGTTGGAAAGCACAAACCCTGGGCATGAACTTCATCTCCTTAGGCTCACATTGCTCATCTCTCACCTGGAGGAGGCAGAGTATCTGCTCTGAGATCATTCCTAGGACATATTTACATCCTATGACTCAGACTAGGTTCAGGGCTAGAGATCCACTTCCTGAGACTGGCCATTTTTCTCCATTGCAGTAGATGTGGAATTATAGGGTTGAATGGGAGGATTTATAGAAAAATTTAAAGTCGTATTTTACCTGTTATATAATTTTTTTTTAAATTGCCTTACTTGTCCTATGAAAAGATTTTAAAAATGAAGAACAAATGTTATTTCGCCTGAGAAAGGGAAGATTTAAGGCTTAGCTTAGTTCCTGTGCCCTAAAAGATATATTATAAGGAGTATTTCCTGTCTTCACAGAAGATGTTATTATTATTCAGTGAAAAAAATGTTTGTTTAATGTCTACTTTGCTCCTGCCCCCAGAGTCTGTCTCCTTAGGGGCAAGAATGTGTATCTGGTTAAATATTTTATCCTCAGTGCCTGCTTAGAGCCAGAATATACTGAAACATTCAGCCAATATTTGCTGAATGAAAAAATGAACATTTGTCATGTAAAAATAATAACTCCTGACACAGGTATATTTGAAAGTTGTCACCTCAGCACATATCTGTTGTTAGTGTACCCCAGCTCTGCTTCGTCAGTTCCCTAAGAAAGGGGTACCAGACAGTTTGGTCATGATGAACCAGTTGCCTTGGATTTTACTGCTGGGACATTTGGAAAATGTCTTGTACATGTAGGGTACCCAAACATTTGTTTAACAAAATAATAGAAGGGATCGTAAGTACGTGTAATCAAAAATAGATCTTCAAACACTAATTTTTGTTTGACTCCAGAATATGTTATCTGAATTTATCAACAAAATTAACTTTTGTGTTTTTTTCATAACAAGTGATTGGTGTTCTTTTGAAAGAATACTGCTTTCTTTAGATTCAAGAAGAGCCTTAGAATTTTTTAATACTGTATGCACATACATACTTATATACATATTTGATATGTGTCATGAGTTTTGGATTCTGTTTTATATTTTAATATATGTGATACATGACAGTTTAGAAATATGATATATTTTGGAAATACATATTTTGTCTTTTCCATCTTTCTAGGGTATAAGTTCTTGAGGTAAGAACTTTGTCTTCTTCATCACTCTATCTTTGCATCTAGAAATGTGCCTGGCGTGGAGTAGGCACACAGGAAATATTATAATTACACAACAAATGCTTTTTCATAAGAGGTCTATTGGATCCTAAGTTTGTTTGTAAGTTAGTCAGTGTTCTAGTTTAGTGTAAATAGTCATCAATTTTTAGTAATTGAAAGATTAGCTCTTATTTTTGCATTCTTCTTTCAGGAAGAATCCTCAGCACAAGATAGAATATAGACATAGTACGCTTCCAGGTAAGTAATTTTACTTCAGGAAATTCAAAATGAAACCTTTAAGTGGTTCTCCTGTTAAACCTAGATAGTTTCCAGTTATTGTGAAAATATTTAAAAATCTCTGCTTCTGTGAATTTGTTGAATTGCTGATTTTAATGATTTTTCTTAAAAAAAAAAACAAAAAAACTGCAACCCTTTGATATAGCAAATGCTTTCCCCATTGTCCACAATATATATTTGCCTTGTATCTCTTAGGATTCTTTTATTTGCAAGTACCTGAAAACAAAATCTTAAACTGGCCTAAATGATAATTGACTTCTATAACTAAAACATCCAGAGCTAGGGCTGGATTTATATAAGCTATATTGCTTTGGCTCATTAATAATGTCAATAGTGTCCCCCAGGACCCAAATGTTTTCCTTCATTCTGTCTTTAGAGGGGTCATTATCATCCTAAGGCTGGCTCCTCTTCCAGTGAGGGACTTTATGTATCCTTATTCAGCTGGGACGATAATCACCTGTAAAGAGCATAAACAACTTTGACCCTCATGATTCCTGGGAAAAATCAGAAAATTGACTTTTTATTACTGGATTAGATCACATTCTTAACCTTGATCCAATCACCATGGCCACTGATTAGTTTGTACCACTTCTGAAACCAGAGTGGAGTCACTTTCTTCAGAACCACAGCCATCTCCAATAAAAACTAGAGCTTTGAGGAAGGGAGGAGGGGGGAGAGACACCAGAGAAGCAACCATCAAATGTCCATCTCTCCTACTTACCTCAATCTGTTTTACCTTCTGTTTCTTATGCTTCTAAACTGTAACATTTTTCTTCTTTAATAAAATCTGGCTTTTTCATATCATTCATATAATACAGAGGCTGATTCAGCACATAATATTTCTGCTCACAGAGTGAGAAAATAAAATGCATACTATCAAGGCTGTGCTCACTTGATTTATATGTGCATACAAACAGCTGACTTGTAATCAAGTAAGTGATGAAAGTAAATGATTTCACTATACAGGAATTCCATTTGATATTTCTTATTGAAACACACTTTAGTGCTTTAGTACTCCAGACATAAAAATATTCCCTTTATCTGAGCTAACCTAGTATGGAGGTTACATGTTATATATTATACTTTCTTTACTGTGCTCATATCTCATGATGTGGCAGTTATGGTAGTTTAAGTGTCTTCCTTTCTAGCAATAATGTAATTGTATTTGATTAAAAGTATATATTGTTCACACATTGTAGCATTGTCCCATGCAAGAGCATTTGACACATTTATATAACTTAATAGAAATAGGAAATATTTACCTAAAAACTATGAATACATCATATAGCATAGTTAAAAATATCTGAATTTTTTTGAAAATTTCTTGAAATTATTGAAGTATTTTTTGAATGAAGAACATATTTTAAGACAATTAACTTTTTAAAGAAAAACTTTATTTTATTGAAAAGATCATTTTTAATAGAAGTATATATATTTTAAAGGAGTAAGTTTAAGGCTATAGGTTTAGTCTTATATTTTTAATGTACTTTCAGAAGTTGCTATGTGGCAATATAGTCAGAACATCTCTTACCCTACAAAATCTAAAAATTGGGGATTTTGAGTATTTCAAATATTAAATGTTGAGGTATCATTGTATTTTTCTGATTTAGAGATACCTAATAAAGAATTCTAACATACTTGTTTTTCTTGTATCCCAAATCATTAAGATTTAACAGTACCCCCAAATCTTAATCTCAGCTATGTATTGATTCATTTACTCACACATTCACATATTCATTTGTTGAATGTCTTCCACGTGAGAAAAGCTACAGAGAGATGAGAACCAGCTCATAATTGTGGTTATGGGAACCAGCTCTGGCTCTCCCCACTTGCGGTGAGATGCTCTGAAGTCTCTGGGGAAAGAGAGAGAGTACTTTCTGCTGGGGATTATCAGGTAGACTTGATATGAGAATTTTAAGTAAAAGTTGGCCTTTAAGAGGGTAGGATTTCAATCACTTTTGTTTCTTTGCTGTGTAGGAGGTTGGTATAGGACACCACAGGCAAAGTGAGTAATAGATCAATCAAGGACTTCAAGGTAGAAGTGTTGTAGTTGGAGTTAGCAAGTGGATCATTTTAACTGATGTGGGAAGTTAAAATCTCTATAGTTGCTTTGGATGTTGCTAAAAGGGTGTATTGAAGCTAGATTATGGAAACTCTCCATGGCCAGACCAAAGACATGGGCACTTTGGCACATAATGATGAGCCAGTATTTTACCAAAATCAAGCTGGTGATAAACAGTTTGAATTAGAGAGGGGGAAGCCTGGAGATTAGTTAGGTAGAATAAAGGGCTAGAACTAGGGCAGCTGTCATGAACATGGAAAGGTTGGACTGGATATAAGAGGGATTTTTGAAGGATGAATCAAGAGGATTTACCAACTAATCAGTTGACTATGATATGGGGATGAGGTAAATGAAGTCAGGATGACTCAGGATTATAGTACACATTATCAGGAGACTGGACAAGGCACACGATAGAGAATAGGGTGAACTAGGGAGTTTTGTTGTTTTTGCTTTCATTTGAACGTTGAGTTTGAGGTGGGGGTATCATAAGAACATATATAACAAGATAATGCAATTATTAATATAGTGCCAACATTAAAATAACTACATTAAACTGTTACTGTTTAATTTCTGATTTGTAATACCCCTAAAACACTTTCATCTATAGAGTGCTTCTATACATGTAACAGTTTATGTAGTGCATTCTGTTTCTTGTAGCTTTGACTCCTGTCATTTGTTATGTTTCTTGTATATATAATTGGTTTAAAATTGTATTTAACTTTCCACACTTTTTCAGAGTGCTACAATGTTTGCACAAGTTATTGAATGCTAAAGTAACCAGTGCCAGGAAGATTTTGTTTTATTCTTTTTTAGCTGCCTCACCTGTTGACAACATTTAAAGGAAATTATCATCAATATTTTATGTAATTATTGGGGTCCTCCTTTCTGGCCTCTATTATTATGTGATATGTATTATTCTAGGTGATTGATACCATTCATGACTGAAAATTTAGAATGCTCCACTGATAGCTACTTTAATGTTTCTCTATTTCTACAATTGTATACATGTACATGCTTATATATACTCTTTTATTCAGAAGGTAAAACTAAAAGATCTAGAAAGAAAGCTATTAAGGAGGCTTAGTGGGATTTACATGAAATTCTATAAACTGCTACTTAATGTGTAGAAAACTAATGTATGGAATATGAGAAAGCCAGATGTAATGGAATTATAAAAAGAAATGAACTTTATATATAATAAAGTAGATCAGAAATATACAAAAGCTAAAATATAAATACCAACTAGTTGCTTAGTGCATTTTTAAAAAATAGTCTTTAATAGTAAAATGAAGCATTATTAAAAATGTTTGTTCTTGTAAATATAGTAAATTTTCAGCTTTAGGAATATTGAGCCGAAATATTTATTTACTTAATAAAAATTAACATCCTAATTAGTCCTAAGATTTAATAGAAAATTAAAGAAATAAAACATGAAGAATTATCAGTATTAAACTATTAATCTGCTATGGAGCGCCTGTCATCTTAGATCTAACACCAAAAAACTCTTGGTAAAAATCTGCAGTTTGGCTGGGTGCGGTGGCTCATGCCTGTAATCCCAGCACTTTGTGAGGCCAAGGCAGGAGGATCGCTTGAACCCAGGAGTTCACTACCAGCCTGGGCAACAAAGTGAGACCACATCTCTACAAAAAATAAAAAAAGTTAACCAGTTGTGGTTATGGGCACACCTGTGGTCCCAGCTACTTGGGAGACTGAGGTGGGATTATCGCTTGAGCCCAGGATGTCAAAAATGCAGTGAGCCATGATTGTGGCACTGCACTCTATCCTGGGCAACACAGCAACACCCTGTCTCAACAAAACAAAACAAAACACTGCAATTTGAAAAGATTTTTCTCCATGCAAAATCAACATTTCTTCCGGCATGTATGTCACACAGTATGCTCTTCAATAGTTTGAAGACTTAGTTCTTGAGATAAGAATTAATGGTGAAATTTTAAATTGTAAAAGAAATATTAGACAAAAATTTGGAATTGTCATTCTCATATTATAAATTCCTCTGCATATAAAAAATCAGAAATTACCATATTCTAATCCCATGTAGTAAATAATGTGTTATTTTAAATATGTTAAAGATTTTATTATTTTTTCTAAAAGTTATCTTTCATAATGGTAGTTCAGCGTTACCCATCAGTGTTTACAAACCAGTGACAGCGTATTTCACCAGTTCTGGCTTTAAGTAGTCAAGCTGTCGATCCCTGTCCACATTTTATTTTACTTCACTGATTTGTAGAGAAAATGAAGGTTCCTACTGGGGCCTTAAAATTAGAACTCTGGAGTTAGAAATATCTTTGTGATCATTTAATCGAATGATTTGTAGTTTAAAAAGTAATTTCTGGCCAGGCGCAGTGGCTCACACCTGTATTCCTAGCACTTTGGGGGGCTGAGGCGGGTAGATCACCTGAGGTCAGGAGTTTGAGACCACCATTTCACCAAAATGGTGAAACCCCGTCTCTACCAAAAATACAAAAATTAGCTAGGCATGGTGGCGGGCCCCTGTAATCCCAGCTACTCAGGAGGCTGAGGCAGGAGAATTGCTTGAACTCGGGAGACAGAGGTTGTAGTGAGCCCAGATTGTGCCATTGCACTCCAGCCTGGGCAACAAAGTGAGACCTTGTCTCTCAAAAAAAGAAATAAGTAATTTCCATTAGGTTAAGTCACTTGTTCATTGTCATGAGCTTGTTTGTAACACAGATAGTTGGACTTCTAACACCTGGTCTAGTCCTCTTTCTCTTAAACTACGCTATTTTAAAGAGTCTTTTTGTTGAGTAAGGTGTGAATGCACATGATCACATAACATGTGCTAATGATCTCGCAATAAACAGTTTCCTTTCAGATTCAGAAATCACTTAACAGCTTTAAAAGAAAAACAGATAAAAAGCCGAAACAACTTCTGGTTCTTATAGACAATCAAATGAGATCAGAGGTAACTGGCAGGAAGAAATTTGTAAGCATTCTAGGCAAAAACAGAGAAAAGACATTTCTTTCAAGTTTGCCTTGACTTAGAAGTGTTAACCCAAATTAAAAAAAAAAAAAAAAAAAGCTTTCTAAGATAAATTTACTTGGAATATTGTAATGAGAATACGTGTGTCATTGTAAAAATCAGTATTCAGAGTATTTTCCAGGTGAGTAAAGTTTAATTTTTTTTTTTTTTGGCCCAGTTACACTGAAAGGCAGAAATGGATATTTCTCTAAAAACACCTTCAGATTCTACTAGCAATTTTTAAAAAAGGAAAGTCATCTAGGTAGCATTTGTTTTATATAATATTTAAAGTTATTAATTGAATTTTCCACAATATAATCTATTAAATAATTGGTCCCACAAAGATAATCACATACCAGCATTTACAACCCTGTTATGAAGGATCTGTGTGACACCACTAACAAAGGACACGGAGCTGAATTCTAGAGCTGACTTTGTGCTCATGTCATGACTTGGCTCTTCAGGTGTCTTCACTTAAAGTATAAAGTACCTGTTCATATGAGTTAAGGTGGATTAAATTTGACTACTAGCTACGTTGAATTCTGTTACAGATGGTTTTGTTAGATTCTGGACTTCTTGTTAGAAGAACATTAATGTGTAAAGGTAAACATAAAATGTAAGTGATGATAGATATGAGCTTTTTTTTGAGTAAACAAACAAAATTATTCCGATTAATGTGGCCTTACTGCCTCAACAAATGAGGCTTCTTAATAAGTTGCTAAATATTTCCAGGGTTCACTGAGGCTTCATTTAGCAGAATTAAGGTCTTTTACATAATTCATTATATTGACTGGCAGGCTAGTGATCAAAAGTGTAGGCTAAAATAAGAAGGGTTTCTGTAAAACTAAAGATGTTCAGTAGTTGATTTGCAAATGGTTCACTTATTTATATTGATATATTCAACAAATATATTTATTAAGTGCTCCCACATGTTAAGCACTGTTGTCTGAGCTAAGGACACAATAGAAACAAAGCCCTGCTCTTGCAGAATTGTACACAGATGGGCAGTGCACACATAAGCAATTATTTGATGTCATGTGTTGATAATTAGAAGAAAAATAAGCTGTGTAGGAGGACAGAATAGCAAGGGTGTGTACATGGTATGGGGAGTGCCATGTCAGAAAGGATGGTAAAAGAAGCACTCTGATAATTTGACATTAGAGCCAAAGCTTGGAGGAGGGAGCAAGCCAGGTGATTATCTAAGGAAGAATATGCCAGGCATTGGGAATCATGAGTTTAAAATCCCTGGTGATGACATGTTTGTACTGTAGGAATAGCAAAGAGCAAATACAATTGGAACAGTGCGAGTAAACAGAATGCATAGGATGAGATCAGAAAACTACTAGTGGGCTAGTTGAGTACAGTCTTCAAAGCTGAGACCCGTAAATAAAGACTTCAGATTTTATTTAGAGTGAGACAGCTATTGGAAGGTTTTCTGACTTTTTTTGTGAAGAATAGACTAGAATGGAAGCAAGGGAGACAGTTAGGAGGATATTGTATCCAGGAATAAAGTGGTAGTACTGGGGCCAGGGCATTAGAGTGGATGTGATGAGAAGTGGTGGATTTACTTTGCAGGTAAAGCTAACAGGATCTCTTGAGGTGTTAGATGTTGGGTTCTCGGTAAGGGATATTCAAGGATGACTACAAGATTTCTTGCTAAAACAACTAGATGGTTGGATGATTAGAGAAGTCATATATTCAAGACTGATAAATAGAATGACCAGATCTGGCTGAAGCAACTAAAGAGTTATGTTCTGGAAATGTTATATTCCAGGTGCCTGTAAGTTATCCAAGCACAGATAATGCTTAGGTATTCAGATAAATGAGTCTGGAATTCAGGGCAGTAGGTCAGGGCTTAAGATGTGAATTTGGGAATTTTGGACATAAGACTGGATGAAATCATCTAAGGAGTGAGTTAGAGAAGAAGTTCCAGCTCTAAAAAGTTAGAGATTAGGATGATGAGGAAAATCCAGCAAAGAAAACTGAGAAGGAGCAGCCAATGAAGTGAGCAGAGAACCTGGAGTTGTTTCAGCTTTGTATCTGTTTTTCTTGTAAAGCTGCTAAGTGATTTCTGAATCTGAAAGGAAACTGTTTATTGAGATATCATTAGGACATGTTATATGATCTTGTGCATTCACATCTTAGAAAAGAAAGTTATGTGTGTAAGGTACTTCCAAGAGGAAAATTGACAAAAATAGAGATATTGATGTTCTTTCCTTCTCACTCCCTTTCCCAACTGCAAACTGCCTTCCAATTTTTAAAAAACGCATGTTATTATTTTAAAAATATGGGTAACTGAGATTAGACATAAAACATGCCCTCAAGATGTTTACAGGAGCTGTGTATACAGATAAAGGTAATGCAAGATTTTCCTTAAGGAACTGGTGAGCTTCCTACTATAATGAGAATTGTGCAAGTTATTATATTGCCTTTTTAGCCGTGGCTACCAAGAATCTTGGGGATAAATTTGATGCTCTATTTTTTTTTTTTTTTTGGGAAAGAATTTTTTTTTGGCCCAGGCTGGAGTGCAGTGGCCGGATCTCAGCTCACTGCAAGCTCCGCCTCCCGGGTTCACGCCATTCTCCTGCCTCAGCCTCCCGAGTAGCTGGGACTACAGGCGTCCGCCACCTCGCCCGGCTAGTTTTTTGTATTTTTTAGTAGAGACGGGGTTTCACCATGTTAACCAGGATGGTCTCGATCTCCTGACCTCGTGATCCGCCCGTCTCGGCCTCCCAAAGTGCTGGGATTACAGGCTTGAGCCACCGCGCCCGGCCTGATGCTCTATTTTTAACAATTGTGTTAAAAATTGAGATTATCATATGTGTATTCTGCTTTTTATGTTTTTTATTTCTACCTTTATTAGCATTTTATTATTATAAACTGTCTCAAATTCTTTCTGGAATGAGTACTGATATTAAGAAAAATATAAATGTGGCCGGGCGCGGTGGCTCAAGCCTGTAATCCCAGCACTTTGGGAGGCCGAGATGGGCGGATCACGAGGTCAGGAGATCGAGACCATCCTGGCTAACACGGTGAAACCCTGTCTCTACTAAAAATACAAAAACTAGCCGGGCGAGGTGGCGGATGCCTGTAGTCCCAGCTACTCGGGATGCTGAGGCAGGAGAATGGCGTAAACCCTGGAGGTGGAGCTTGCAGTGAGCTGAGATCCAGCCACTGCACTCCAGCCTGGGCTACAGAGCGAGACTCCGTCTCAAAAAAAAAAAAGAAAAAGAAAAATATAAATGTATTGGGCTATAAGGGTTAAAAGGACAGATATATTACTTCCTTTGTCATTTTTCTCATTTTTCCCAATTCATTGACTTTATTTTTAAAATTATAACTATATGTTGTATGTGAACATTTTAGAAGGATATTAACCAAAGTATATACTAAAGTACAGACATTAATATTTTTAACCTATACATTTGCTGTTCATCAGGGACTGTCCTCTGCCATTCAGATTTCTAGATACAGTCTTCTTAATTGTTTCTTGAATGTTCTACACTGTCCTAGAGTCTTTCACTGCTTTAGTTTACAGCAACTCTGTAGCTCACTGTGGAAGGAGTAGGATGAGGGAAGAAATGAATTTGGAGGCAGAATAATTCTAGTATTATAATATTACTTAGAAATCTGTAAATTATAATGTCTGTTATGATGGCAATCCTAGTCTTATTGAAACATGAACTGTAAGAATATCTTAGACCTATAAAACTAAACTTTCCAAAGTATCTAAGCTAACGCCCTGATGGGTCAATAAGCTTTTGCTAGGTTTGCTGTAATAACAAACATTTCTAAATTTCAGTGCCTTATAACAATAAATACCCTTATTTCAGTGTATTTCTCCTTATTGCAGCTGTGAATTGGCTGTGGCCCTGTGCCATGTGTATTCTCATCCTGGAATCCAGACTGAGGGATCAGCCTCTATCTGGGACATGCTATTCTTGTGGCAGAGGGGAAATGGCAATAGCAGAACCGGAGAAGGAGTCTTAAAGCATCCTTTTGGAAGTGACACACACTATTTCCACTCACATTTCCTTGGGCAATCACTGAGAAGTGAGGAAGTATAATCATATCACAGGAAGGGGCAGTGAATAACTGGGACAAAAATACATTCTACCACATGGGAAGATGGGATGTTGTGAATATGATTATGAGATTAAGGAACCATTATTATTAATCTCATGGGCCATTTTAGTTTCAGGAACCTCATGGTAGGAAAAGTTAGAATAATAAATAACAAAGCATCATTTTAGTACCCTTTCCAGAAATTTGTAGTGGTGAGCTCTGCATTAATAAAATTAATTCTCTGGATGCAGAAAGACATTTTATAGGTAGATGTCTGTCATCCCAGGTTGAGTGGCGATTGATGTGTTGTGTACCAATCTTCTGTTTTTCAGTGAGAAATGTTTTAGATGAAGATAATGATAATGTTGGGCAACCCAGTGAGTATGACCTGAACGACAGCTTTCTAGATGATGAGGAAGAAGACTATGAGCCAACAGATGAAGATTCTGACTGGGAACCAGGAAAGGAGGATGAAGAGAAGGAAGACGTGGAAGAGCTTTTGAAAGAAGCAAAAAAGTTTATGAAAAGAAAATAGTAACTAACTTCTGTAGTCATATGTGCCTTACATTTACTTTTTCTTTGTGGGAAAACATTTATGAACTAAGGAGGTACTTAAGTGACAGTTATTTCCTTCTTTTGATAGTTAATGACTTCTACTACTGACTCTTTACAAGTGAGACATTGAAACGTCAGCCTTCAGTATAATAGATGGAATTTTTTGTTGCCTTGCCTTTTCTTTCCTACTTAAAGCATCTGGAAATAGGAAGACAGAGAAGGTAGAGTAAAAATGGATATTTTTGATGTACTTTGTATATTGGTAATAAAAAGTAAAAGTCATAGGTTGTGCAAAACTTTGGTCTTTGTAAATTTTTTTCCAAAGATTATCTTTATGGAGTACTCTGCAAGTATAACCAAGCAAATTACATGAAAACATGCCTCTTTTCATTGTTACTGAAGTAATTCTGTAAGCAGAACCAGGATTTTAAAAATGCAGTCATTACTTAATGGCTGTTTTTTTCTAGTACCTTAGATGTGAGCTTTGCAATTTCACTTACTACTTTTGTCCTTCAAAACTTGGGAAGATTGGTTCCAAATGGATACTGAAAATAGATTCAACTAGGCTGTAGAAGAGAAATGTTCACCATGCAGGGAATGTTATTTTGTGTTCCACCTCTGCAATTTACTGTATGTTTGAATTTAAAAGTAAAAATCTCAAAGAATTTGACCTTTTTTTCAAACTAAAGTCCTACCTGATTATTTTAACTCTCAATGTGCTGCCTTTATATTAAGAATAGAGAAATGACATAGCTTTCTCAAATGGCGTGAATTTTGCCTTAGTTTTTTTGACCTCTGATGAAAGTAGCAAGTGGTTTACTCTTTGGGTGAGGGAGAAAGGACAAGATGGAGGAAGGTGAACAAAAAGGCACAATCCATGTTGCTTCCGGGTTCTTCCTCACCAACTTTCCTGCGCGCGGGAAAATGCAGCCTGTGCCCGGGAAGATGCAGATCAACCAAGCATGCACCAGGTGACGTCAATCCGAAGATATCGAAACTTACCTGGCCACACCTATGGAGACGCCCCTATCACGCCCTTATCCCGCCCACTGCCCTCCCCCTTCCAGTACCAATGCATAAAAGTCCGCTGCCGGCAGTAGCCCGTGTGACTTCTTTGACCCCCGTTTTTGTGGGCTGGAGAACCTCACCCGAGAGCGCCAGTGCGACTTCCCTGGCCCCATACCTGAGGACCGGAGAACCTCGCCTGAGAGTGTGTGCATATTTGCAATAAAAGACTGCCGCTTTCTTATGTACTTTGGCCTCATGTTTAATTATTTAGCTCTCCTAAATCAAGTATTAAATTAAGTATTAAATTAAGACAATTATTAAATTAAATTAAGACATTTACCAGTTGAAAGTTCAAGATTCTGGCCTCCCATATCAAGAAGAAACTACTTATTCTTCAGTTTCATGATGTATCTTTCTGTATTTCTGTTCTAAAACTACTTTGAGCCCTATAATGCTCTTCATTTTAAGTGACTTTGAATTGTTAAAATGTAGTTTAGAATCTTTAATAACAGTTGGGTTGCGTACACAGAGCAGGAGATATTTATTGAAATCATAAATCACTAAGCCAAAAGAGTCTTTGTTAAATACTAACATTTTCTACTCTAAAGGAACCTAAAAATTTATATTTTAAAAGAGCAAAACATATTTATAATATTATTTCTCAGTGCTTTTAAATATTATCTCCAGTAATTGTATAATATTTAATATTTATTTAAACTGGAACAAGAATAAGATAAACATTTCTCTAGACTATTACCTATTATTCTGATTTTATCTGTTATTGTTATTTGGAAACTATTTTTCCCCTTATAATGTCCCTTTAACCTTGGTAGTATAACAAGTCTATGAATGTAATATTTAACTTATTTTCATCCCTGTCACTAACTTAATCCTTGAAGTGTTACTTAATCTACTCCTAGGTATATACCCAAAGGAATTGAAAACATTTCCATATAAAAACTGCACACAATGTCGATAGAAGCGTTATTCTGAAAAGGTTATTAAAATATTCCTTCCTTTTCAACTACATACCTGTGTAAGGCCTGGTTTTCTCCATGTACTTCAAGCAAAACAACATATGAGAGCAGACATAGGAATCTACATGTCTTCTAGAGAAGACAGACATTAAAGAGATTTGCAAAAAATTAACAATGCCATTCATCTCACTAAATTCTTTAAAATACATCATTTTTAAATAAAATATATGTTTGTGTTAGTGTGTAATGGGTTTACTCTTCTTTTTAAGTGAATTACTAAATATTTTTAAAATTTCTCAATTGTAATCTCCAGTGTGGTAACTATCTACAAGTACGACCCTCATAAACAAAAGGTTTTTGGGTTTCTCAGTAACTTTTAAGAGTGAAAAGAGTCCTGAGGCTGAAAATTTTGAGAACCACTCCAGTAGGTCACTGTACCATTCAGTTGGACTAGTTATGCTAGGATAACCCCAAAATCTCAGTGCCTTAACACAAGGAACATTTTCTTATACCAAGATTTTCTGTGTTGGGTGACCCTCTAGGGCACTGTCTTCCATGTAGCAACTCAGTATTCCAGCATTTTAGACTCTCTGCCTTCTTGTAGTTGTGTCATCTGGATCATGAGACCTTCTTAATCATGACTGCAAGGGGAATACAGAAAGTAGAGGGTTATAGTGTAATTAAAGGCTTCAGGCTGAAGAGACATCACTTCTGTTTGCGGCCCATTGGCCAGAAGTAGTTACATGGCTTTATCCACTAGAAGGGGCATAGGAAGTACAGTCTTACGGGTGTCCAGAAAAGATGAGAAACAGAGTGAACACTAGTAATGTCTACCACAGTCGCCAAAGGAGTAAGTGGTAAAAGAGAGTTGAGGATAAGATCTTGAGTGTGTCATAATTTAAGGAATAGGAAGATAAATAAAAAGATTCTTCAGAGGAATTAGAAGAAGAGGAATGTTAGGAACTTTCTGTGTCACAGGAGCTGAAAGTAGAATGAATATTAAGAAGGAAGAAGTAGTCAATATTGTCAGTTGCTATAGAATGGTTACACGCCTAAGAACTGAGATTAGATTTAGCTTCCTACTTCACCGAGATAATTGAAGCTATTTGATGAGAACTTTTACAAACTCTCACCTGCATCTACCCACCTACCAGCTATTCTCAAATTCTTTATCTTCTCCCTTGGTATTATAGATAAATTGTTTATTATTTTATTTAAAACCATTTCCCTAGATCCAGGCATCTCTTACGTGCTTAAGGACTTTACACTGGTAATTCCTCCCCCTCTCCCATCTCATCAGTTTTTTCCTATGTACTGATTCATTCCCATCACCATGTAAACTTAATGGTATTTCTTACATCTTAAAGAAAAAACAAAAAACTTCCTTAATTCACTCCCCCGACAGCTTTACTACCCTATTTATCTTCTCCCCTTAACAGCAAAATTCCTCAAAAGTGTTGTCTATACTCGCTGTCACCAGTGCCTATCCTTTAAGTCCTTCAAATTGTAACAGAAAAACATCAAAAGAACTAACATAACTAATTCCATTTTCATTTAAGGGGCCTTTACCCATTGCTACACCTAGGCTGGGATTTCAGAGCACTGACATTAAATGTAAAAACAGGAATGATGTAGTTTTTGAAACTAATTCTGGGATTATATATGTAAACAACTCTATTTTATTAAAGATTTATAGGTGTATGGTGACCTGACCAAGCACAAAGAAGTTCCCAACCCCCTTGGACCCTTACTGGTGCCCAGATATTTGTACTCATTGGTCACCTTTTGGTCCCAACCCTCTCCTCTTCCTTTTGCCCTTAACATAAAAACAGCCTGAAATTTGTTCTGATTTAAGATGGTATTTTAGGACGTTAGTCTCCCATATTCTCAGTTTACTGCCTTTCCAAAATTAAGTTGCTTTCCTTGCTCCAACTCCTTGTCTCCCTACTTATTGGCTGTTGTGCGGTGCGCAGGATGAGTTTGAACTTGGTTACAAAATGAAGCCTTTCCTACCACCTTTCCATTGAAACTGCTTTTGTCAGGTGCATCAGTGATTTCCACTCTCCTGAATCCTATGGTCATTTCTTAGCCCTCATCCTTCTCAACCTTTCCTCAACATTTGAAACAAGCAAGATGTCAGGGTGTTCAGGAAGAAATGGTGGAGAAGAAATAAATATATTGATTGCAATCACTCCAGGGAAGTTTAGAGATGATAAAATCAGTAGAGGTTTGTTTTGTGTGGCATTGTTTTTACGGTGGGAGCACAGAGCATGTTTTACAGGCAGAAAGAAGGAATCTGCAGAGAGAGATTACAATGTTGTGAAAGTTAAGGAATGGGTACTTGTACTTCTGTTAGCATTTTTGTATTAGTTAAATTTATTAATACAGTGATCCTTAAACTAGCTGTGCATCAGAATCCCCTGTGAAGTTCTTTTTTTAAAAAAAATAGGTACTGGGTTTCCTGAGAGACCGACTGAGTCAATCTCTCAGATGGGGCACTAGTATTAGTACTAAAATATGCACACATACACACACATGTGCGCACACACACACACTCTGTTTCATGGATTAGATGCTGTTGAAGGACAGCTTTGGAAAGCAGGCAGTATAAGCCCACTTTATATATCTCTAGTGAGCAGTTCAGTCCAGCCCCAACAATGAAAAGCAAGCAGAGTTTGTGACATGTCAAAAGAAAATTAATCATTCTGAAGTTTGGGATTAATCTGTGAGATTTTCATTTTTCATAAAGCATAAAAGATGGAAAGTCAAGAATAGAATTAGCCAATACTCTTCGAAACCATAAAATTATACACACAGTAATTCCATCAGTGACACACATTATTGTTGAGATTTTAGCCTTCATTAGCTGTGAGTTTAGCAGCTCACATTGGTGCTAACTACACTGTCAGGAAACTTCCTTGTATGTGCCATGGGTGTCATTTTGTCTGTGGAGCCCACAGTGGAAACTTCCTATGGAGTAATGAAATTAGAAACAAACCACCAAAGGACAGGAAATATAAATCTAATGGATGTGACATTTTAATCCATCCTTCTGAATAGATTAAAATCACACCTCTGGAAAAAAAGGCATCAGGTTGAACTTGTAAACTGTTTAAAAATAAGCAACAATCAGAGTATTATGTTACTATTATGTAGCAAGTAATATATTTGAAGAAAAATAATATTGTCTTATGTGTATATATTAGAAAAAAGACTAATAATAAATCAACTGAGTATTTTAGAGCTAGACAAAAGCAGAGCATCACAATTAGCCAGGGATAGGACAGAATTAGTAAAGTAAAATCTTGAGA